GGGGCTGCGATCTGCGAAATTGTCGCCACTTTCGAATGCTGCTGGTGGGTCCTGCCGAGCGAGGCACCCCTGCGGACCTGAGCGGGACCTCGCCGTCCTTGGGGAGGGGGGGGGGTCGTCATTTTCGAGGGTTGCTGGTGGTTCCCGCGGAACGAGGCGCCGCGCGGGCCTGAGCGGGGCCTCGCCGTCCCTGGGGGGCTGCGATCTGAGAAACTGTCGCCGCTTTCGAGGGCGGCTGCTGGGTCTTGCGGAGTGAGGCACCGCGCGGATCTGAGCGGGACCTCGCCGTCCCAGGGCGGCTGCGACCTGCGAAATTGTCGCCGCTTTCGAGGGCAGCTGGTGGGTCCAGCGGAGCGAGGCACCAGGCATATCTGAGCGGGACATCGCAATCCCTAGGGGGCTGCGAGCCTCAGGAATGCCGCTTGCAGAAGTATATGCGCCCATGTCGCGTCATCACCTCCGTATAACGTCTCCCAAGCTACTCGTGCCCCGCATTGCGCAGGTTTGGGTGCGTCGCCAGGGTAAGTTTCCCTTGCCACCCCGTGTCACTCTTTATTTTTTTCCTTCGGCACCCCTTTCCGCGGCCGCGGCGCGTCGCCGCGAGCGGCGCCCCGTGAATGGCCCCGCCGCTGGCGGTGGAAGACGAAGATTGCGAGGGGAAAAGGATGGGGGGAGGGGCAGGGGCGCGAGGCGGGCGCGGCGGCAGCGGCGGCCCGGCAGGGGAGTGGCGGGGAGAGGGGGGAGGACGGAGTGGGCGGGTGCTTCTGTAATGGTCATGTTGGTGATCATGGTCGTGGTCGCGTTCGTCGCCTTGGTCGCGCTGGCGGTGGTCGCGCCACTGGTGGTGGGCGGGCTGGTGGTGGTCGCGTCGGTGATCGTGCTGGTGTCGGTCGTTGTGGTGGTCGCGAGAAGAGTGTTGGTCGTGGTGGTGGTGATGGCGGTCAATGGTGTTGGTCGTAATCGTTGCGATGGATGTGGTTGCGGTCGCATCCGTTTGCGGTGATCGTGGCGGTGCTAGTTTTGGCGCTGGCGGCGGTCGCGGCGGCCGCGGCGGCGGCTGCGGGGGCCTGCTGGCCTAGCGCCGGGGTGCGTTCAGCAGCATCGCGGCATTTGAAATTTTAGAGGGATTTGCTGATCTGCCGAGGTGGCCCAGCGGCCGCCTTCTTCTCGCCGAGAGGGCCGCAGCGTGGGCGACTTTCTTTTTCCCGGGGGCGACCGGCCTTTTCAGCGGCCGTGGAGCGGGCGACGCGCGTGCGATCCGCCCCGCGGGTGTCCGCCGCGCTGGCGACGGAGTCGCCGAATTGCTTCCTTGCGAGGGCGACGTGCACGTTCGAGAGGGCGGCTGGCCTTTTCGGCGGCCAGCGCGCGGGCGGCGCGCGGGCGACGAATGCGCGGCGCACCTCTCGTCGCGAAGGGGGGGTCAGCGCGCCGGTCGTCTTACTGGGCCTTAACACCATTGGCTTAGATCCAAGTGCTTTACCTTGTGCATACGTTTGCTCCCGAATTTTGGAAAGCCACTCGCTACCAGGATTACCTGGCGTCGTTGTTCATTGATGGCCTTCCCCAGAAACCAAGGGGGGCTTTCGAGCCGCGGATAGGTTCCAAGGTGGTGGTGCGCCATGGAGCTATTGTGCCAAGCAACAAAATACACAAACAAATCCCGGCAAAGCAACCTAACAGCGATGTGTAGAAGCATATCTGAAAGCATTCCCCTTAAGATTCAGATGAAAACCCAGTTGTCGAATTCTGCTGTTCTCGCAGTCGTAGTCGCATTCGCGATGACAGTCGCAGCGGCAACGGCAGTCGCAGTCACAGCCTCAGCCTCAGCCTGCCTCAGCCTCAGCCTCAGCCTGCCTCAGCCTCAGCCTGCCTCAGCCTCAGCCTCAGCCTGCTTCAGCCTCAGCCTCAGTCTGCCTTCAGCCTCGGCCTCAGCCTCAGCCTGCCTCAGCCTCAGCCTGCATCAGCCTCAGCCTCAGCCTCAGCCTGCCTCAGCATCAGCCTGCCTTCAGCCTCAGCCTCAGCCTGCCTCAGCCTCAGCCTCAGTCTGCTTCAGCTTCAGCCTCAGTCTGCCTTCAGCCTCGGCCTCAGCCTCAGCCTGCCTCAGCCTCAGCCTGCCTCGGCCGCAGCATCAGCCTGCCTCAGCATTCAAAATGTGGCCCAGGAGTGGAGTTCTGGGAGCTAGAAGAAGAGGAAGTGGCTTACAGTTGGCTCCGGGCATTCAAAATCATGCCCAGGAATGGAGTTGTGGGAACTTGAAGAGCACGAAGTGGCCTACAGTTGGCTCCGGGCATCCAAAATTTGGCCCGGGAATGGAGTTCTGGGAAATCGAAGAGCACGAAGTGGCTTACAGTTGGCTCCGGGCATCCAAAATGTGGCCCGGGGGTGGGGTTCTGGAAAGTCGAAGAGCACGAAGTGGCGTACAGTTGGCTCCGGGCATCCAAAATGTGGCCCAGGAATGGAGTTCTGGGAGCACCAAAAGCGATTTTGCGAGGATGTCCCAAGTGATTTCGGCTTCGGCGGCAGCCGCCTGGGTCCCGCCCCAACCCCCTTCTTTTGAGACCAGTAGAAACCTATCAGCAAAAGCTGTTCGGTAAATAAACGAGCAATTAAAGGCAAGCCCGCTAGGACTATGCCTCGAGCAGAAACAGTCAAGGTGCCGGTAACGCCGCGTGCTGGCACAACCGGGCCTAGTGGCAAAACAATATGCCTGGCAACAGTGCCCAGCTCAGCTGCGGTAGCTGCACAAGGCGCTATTGATGCATGCGGCTTAGCTGAAAATGCACGCGTCACAACACCTTCCGCGACAGGCAGGGAAGGTGCCAGGAAAAGCTCCCACAAGTACAAAATAGGAGAAGACGAAGAAATCATTGCCATGCTCGATATGACTGACAGTGAATCAGACGCTTCGGATATACAAGCCCAAATCTCTAGTATCCAACAGATACAGGAAGAATGGGGGGAATTATTACAAAACCGCAGATGCGGCGGCAGCCTAATCGCAGGGCAATGGGTCGACTCAGTCGACACCGCAGCAAGAGACGGACCAGGCGATGATTGCACGCGAGTGGAACGGCGGACAATTGATACTTGAAAATTGCTGCGGACCCAACAGTAGAATCCACAACCCCGTTGATAATTCATGTAAAGTTATACGATATACGGAGCGCGACGACATGCGAGCCGATGAGGGCAATTTTAAGGCGCTTGCGGATATCAAGGCTCTCAAGGGAAATCGCATTTTACTTTGGCGCTCGATCCCGCGCGCGGGGGGGAGGTCCTTGGCAACGCGTCAACGAGGCCAATTATTTCCGCAGTGGTGATCATAGGTCTCTGCGTAGGCTTCGGGGAACTAGGGCGGACTTCAGATGCCTGCTTTGGAACGTCATGGAGATAGCGCGCGCTGTCGTTGAAGCGGGGGGGGGGGGGGGGGGGGGGGGGGGCGTCTGCATTGAATGGTCAAGCCAACGTCAGTATTGGAGAGACCCTCAGATTGAAGCCTTCGTGCGAGAGATAGGGTTACAATGATCAGTTCTGCACGGGCGCGCGGGCTGCTTGGGGGACAGAAGGGAATTACATGAAAAAAGCCATGGACGATTGCATCCGCGTCGGATATAGTGACGACAGGATTGGGGCGCAAGTGTGATGGCGCGCATGCGCATGTTCAAGCACTGGGTAAGGATTGCAATTTCGCTGAAGATTATTCATGCGTTTGCACAAAAGATTGATTTGGTGCTCGCGCGCGCTGCATCGCACTCATGTTTTGACCCCGCCTCCTCAAGTCATGATTTATGTGCCGTCGACGTTTTCTCTAAAGAAATGGGGCGGGCCCGCCGTCGGCCGGCCTCCCCGCAGTTTGCGCTGCCGCGTAGCCGCGGCCGCGCCCCCCCCTGCTGGCTGCGGATCTTATTCCGAGGCCTCCCGCGCACTGGCCGATCCCACTCGTCCGTTCCTGGGCGTCTCTACGGTTCAACCGTTTGAGATGGCTGGGAGGGAAAAATGGTCTTCTTTGTGTTAAACTGTAGGGTGTCGGTACCTCGCGGGGCTTGGATGGGGGCGATTCAAGCGAACCGTCATAGAAGACAGTGTACTATCCTGCGCTCCGCGAGAAGCGCCAGTTACGGCCCGACCGAAGGATCGCTGCGATGATCCTGAATGGGCCGATCACTGCCGCAGTGCAAGTTGGCAAGCTTCCCTAGGAGAGAGCGCGGGTAGCTGCGGCCGCGACGCAGATTGCCTTCAATGCATTGCTATCCCAGGTGACCCCGAAGAGATGTTACGAGAAGCGGCCGAGAAGCTGAGGGCGCAGGATTCGGCGCCGGCTCAGTCGGTCGGGGGCGCCGAGAATTCGGCATCAAGGTCCGTGGTAGAGAGCGTTGAATTTGGTGAAACGTCAGGATCGGGCTATAGGGGCTGGTCAGATGTTGAGATCAGTCGCGCGTGCCATGTCGAAGCGCCCGAGCCGCGGAAGATCTTCCGCTGCCTTTTTCGCCCGGGAGTCGACGTGATCTTTTCCGGCCGGAAAGGCTGGATGCAGCGAGTCGTGTTAAACAGATCCTTTTCGAACCTGCTCTCGGAAGGAATTCGTCGCCAACGAGTTGAAAGAAGATCTTCGAGCGTGCGACGAGCATGTCATCCAAATACTGTATGATAAGATGCCCGAGGACCCGTGGGTGGTTTTCTGGGCCACTTGCCAGAGGGCTTCCGGGAATCATTCTAGGGGCAGTTTCGACGGCCCTCCCCCGGACCTAGACACCTAGACGTCATCGAGGTGGGCCAGTACTTCAGTCCCACGTTGGCCCGCGCGCGACTTTGATGTGTCAATTCTACAGTGGAATACTTGGAGACCGCCAGAGCAAGTTAGTTCGAAGTTGCGATCGCGGTGACACGTTTGGCCCCGCATTGGGCCCGGCGGAGTTTACTTATGAAAATCGCATCTGAACGACCTTGGCCCCGACGCCCTGGTCGTCGCCACGGCCGACGTCCGGGCGCTGCGGCCTCAGGAAAGCGACGCTTCCATCGCCAAGGTGGCCGGCGTCTCTCTCTCAGGCAAGGTGTCGGTTCTTGAGGAGCAGTTTGAGAGCGCCGGCATCGACATCGTGGGTATTCAGGAGGGCCGTGCCCGCCGTAGTGACATTGCCAGCGGCACCCATTACACTCGCTATATTGGTGCTGCTGACGATGATGGCGACTATGGGTGCGAGATCTGGCTCCGCAAGGGGGCCAATTCAAGCTGCAGGCTCACGAGGTGGTGTCCCCGAGGTTATGCTGGTTGGTTGCATCCCATCCTCGCGCTGGCCGCGTCCTCGTCGTGTCAGGGCACGCTCCACGCAGTTTACGTCCTGCTGCGGAGCGCGACGGCTTCTGGGACCTGGTGCTCCAGAAGGTCGACATGCTCACCGCCAAGCACCGCCAGGCGCAGCGATTCGTGCTGCTCGATGCCAATGCTCGTTGTGCCGAGTCGCTCCCGCACATCGGCGCCCACGACGCTGGCGTTGAGAACGACAACGGTGCGGCGATGCTCGCATTCCTGGATCACTGCGGGCTCCGTGCTGACAATAGCTTCCATCCGTGCGGATACACGTGGAGGTCTGGCCACGGTAGGACTCATCGCATTGATTACGTATGCGCTGATGTCACCCGACCCCTTAGCGAAGTGCGAGCCTACATACCCCAAGACGTGACGCTTTCCCTCACCACTGGTGAGGACCATCGTTGCGTGGTTGCCACCTACACGCTGGACAAACTGCAGCGACAGCCTTCTGGGTCCAAAGCTTTCCGCTTGAGCAAGTGGAAGCTTTCTGACGTTGGCTGCGTCGCGTCTGTCTGTGAGCAGCTTCGCTGGTACCAGCCCCCGCTGCAGGCCACAATAGACGAGAAGGTCACGCATTTCGTCGAGGCCGCGCAGCGGGCTGCCCGGCGAGGCTTGGGCCCCATGCGAGATTGCCTTCGGAAGACATGGATTCGTGGCCCGACCTGGGAGACGATCAAAGCGCTGAAGTTGTGCCGCTCTCTCGGCTTTCTCGCGGTGCAGCGTCGCAATTGCGCTCGCCTCGCTCAGGCTTGGCATGCGTGGAAGGGCCTCTGCCGGCGCTGTTTTACACCTGGCGCCCCTGCCCCAGCACTTGGGTGGGGAGCGGTCGGCATCCAACCCCGCGCTCGGAGGTGCTACTGGAGCTGGAACAAGTTGTGGGCCATCACGCAGAGGCTCGGCATGCAGCTCGGCTTCATCATCCACCGACACCTTTCGAGCGACAAGGTCGCATTCTTGGAGGCGCGTGCTGCCGAGGCTCAGCGCTGCGCCCACGTGCGTGACTGGAGGGGGACGTTCGGCATTCTGAGGTCCTTCAGCGGCAAATCAGCGGCTGCGGTGCCCTCCCCCGTCCTCAACAAGAAGGGCGTTCTCACTTTCAGCGAGGAGGAACGACAGATGCGGTGGCTCGAGCACTTTCAGGACGTCTTCAAAGGAGCCCGCGTCACCGCTGCAGACCTCCAGGCGCTTCCGCATGACGCGCCGCTCCTGGGTGACCTGTCCATGACTGTGGATGACGCGTGCGCCGCGTGGCACCGGCTCGGCGCCAACAAGGGTGTCGGGTGCGATGGGTTGCCCGCCGAGTTTTGGAAAGCGACCGCTGCCGTTACGGCGCCGGTTGCGACGATGCTGTACAATGAGGTGCTTCAGGCGGAGGTCTGGCCGGTGGCGTGGACTGGCGGCAGGCTCCAGGAGGTCTTTAAGCAGAAGGGCAGCCGTGCCAATTGCGACGATTACCGCGGCATTATTTTAGAAGATCATCTGGGCAAAGGGTTGAAGCAACATCTATCGCAGCATGTGTTTCCTCAGTATGCGGCTCACCAGCCTGACGCTCAACACGGGGCCGTGGGTGGCCGAAGCACTGATTTCGCGTCGCATTTGGTCGTCGAGATCTTGGCATACGCTGCCCGGACCTCCATGTGCGTGTTCATCATGTTTCTCGATCTCGTGAAAGCATTTGACCGCGTCATCCGTGAGATCACCTTGGGATGGCCGGCCGGAGTGTCCGATGGGGAGGCCTACCTGATGGGCCTCGGCCTAGGCCGTGACCAGGCGCAGTGGATTGCAGCATTCGCGTCCGTGCACGGCCCGCTCCTCGAGAAGTGGGGGGTCTCACCGAAAGTGATCCGCCTTCTGAAAAACATGCACGTGCAGTCCTGGTTTTGCGTGGGCGACCTCGATACTGCCATCGCGGTGCGTTTGGGGGGAAGGCAGGGCTGTAAGTACGGCGCCTGTCTTTTCAATTCGACTTTCAGTGTGGCCCTCCAGATGATTCACGACCTCGTCGTGGACGCCGGCTTCGCTCTCCAGCTCCCGTGCGATAGTGCGCCTGTGTGGGCGAAATCCAGGCCTGCAGATGGCGCGCCCATGCAGGATGTGGTCGACGTCGCATTTGTCGACGACACGGTTTTAATGTTGCTGGCTGTGTCCGCCAAGGTGCTGGACCGATCAATCGATGGTCTGTTGGGCGTTGTTCTTCGCTTTTACCGCGTGCTGAATTTAGAAATCAATTTTCAGCTAGGAAAAATGAAGTATAGGGGGCATGGGGCTGTGAAGCACACCCGGGCCAGGCGGCGAGCGCCAGGAGGACCTCTGTGCATCCAGCTTCCCAGCACCGATGACGTTTTGCACGTTGTCCCCCTCTATGAACATCTAGGTTGCGAGCTTGCATTGTCGGGCTCGTTGATTCCTTTGGGGCAGAGTCGCCGCAAGAAGGCCCTGGCCGCGCACGCGCCTCTTGCGATGAAACTTTTTGGGTCCCAGCAGGTTGATTACAGCTTGAAGTGCTGGATGTTCACGACTCTTGTGATGTCCAGGTTGTTGTTTAACCTGCACATATTTGTACCCACTGCTCCATTTCTTTCTCTCCTCAACGACGTATATATGCGAGGCTACCGCAGGATGCTTGGGGCCCCTCGTTTTGGCCCCGGCGCCGGGAGCGACCTCAGCTTCCGCAGTGTGCACCGAATCCCTTCCATCGATTGTGCGCTGGCGCGTGCCAGGCTTACCTACCTAGGTCGCCTTGTCCGCGCTCGCCCTCCGTCGCTGTCAGCTGTACTCCGGCAGAGGCCAGAGCGCAACGGCATGCCGCAGCTTTCCGCGTGGCTCCAGCTGGTGATTCAGGACCAAAGGCGCCTCCACCAGAGCGTCGCCCTGTGTTCTAACCTGCCCGATCCCGCAGAGGATCCAGAGGCGTGGTGCAAGCTCATATGCGACGAGCCGCTCAAATGGAAGCAATTTGTAGCCCTCCTCCACTTTGAGGATTCAATTTGTGACAAAGTTCTACACCAGCGTGTGGAACCCATCTGTCGACCCTTCGCCTGCTCGGACTGCTCGGTGGCGTCTGCCTCGGAGCGCCAGCTGGCCCAGCATAGGCACATCAAGCGCGGTGTGCGATGCGAGCAGCGTTTCTTCGCACCTGCGTCGGCTACGTGCATGGTGTGTGGCACGACCTTCGGCGCTCGCCTTGGTCTTATCGCCCATTTGTCCGATAAAAGGCGGACGAAGTGCTGGCACGCCATGCTGCAGGAGCCTGCAAAGTACCCGAGGCTTAGCAGCAATGTACGTGCCGAGCTGGACGCGAAAGACCGGGCTGAGCGAACTGCTGCCCAGCGCCTCGGCCACTCCCACGTTCTTGCGAAAGGGGGCTGCACGAGACGCGACGGCACTGCGGTGGGGCGGCCTTCCGCGTAGCCACCGTTGTGTTGTAATCTTCCGAATTCGTTTGTGCTGTATTGTGACGCTTCGCGCAACCCTTGCTAAATAATGAAAATCGCAGGTCATTTTGTCGCAGTTTGCGTTCCCGACAGGAGATCGGACAGGATAGTCCATATGAACATGTGGGGGCCTTCCCGCAACGGCGCCCCGCGCGGCCCAGCCGCTGACAAGTGGGGAACATATTTCGCACTTCCCGTAATCAGGGGGGATGTTCTCGCGAGGGCCCATGCGATTGAATGACAAGTTTTGTCCGGCAAAGCCCTGGCCGAGCACCGAGAGTGGAAGGCATTAAAGGGGGGCCCTCCGCAAATAGGGCAAAGCTGCACTCGGTGGCTCATCCGCCAGAGGCCAAAGCGCCCGAACCAGACGTCGAAATGTCTAGGGCGATGGAAGGGCAACTTCCGCAGAAGCGGCCGAGCGACGCTGGCAGCTCGAGACCAGCGAAGACTGTTAGAGTGGAGCCCTCCATTGGGGCTGAGAAAAGGGCGCCTCCATCCGAGGCGTCGCTGTCCCAGTCCGACGGCCCCGTGCGGGCCGCGGCAATTCCACCCCCTCCTGCGCAGCCGGCAGTGGGGAAATCGGGAATCCCCTTCCCGGCTCAGCCGGGGGCTGGGGCGCGCCTGCTGGGGATGGAGGCCATGATGGAGGTGGTCGTCCGCCTCCAGGCGCGCCGCGCGGGCAGCGGGGAGGGCCCCCCCGCCCTGGCCCGGTCCCAGCGCCTCCCCCAGCTCAGGAATAAGAGCAGGAAGGGCCTTGTCCCGTCGCATTCGGAACGTACTTGAACGCGCGAGACGCGCCGGGGCCGGCTCAGCCGCCCCCCTGGGTGACATCTCGCCCGAATGGGAACGGTGTATCACAGAAATACTAAATATTGACATCTCCGTGGTAGACCCAGGCCTCCATGCTACAGCAGCATGGTTGAATATTGGCGAGAAATGCCAGGCCATCACTCGCATGGCGGAGGTGAATGGCCATCGGTGGATTCCTTATGCTGGGGGGGACCTAGCAGCAATGCTGGGGGCTGGGAAGGCGCCGATGGCATGTTTCCGTCCACTCACAAAATTGCCGCGCATGGCGTCTGGTTTCTGGCCTGCCGCTATTTATGTCGTATCAGACTCAACATGTACTTTCTATGCTCCAAGCGGAGAGAAGTTTGGCCCGGGAGAAGGGCTCCGGCACCATATGACCGATCATTTCCACGGCGTCCGCGCGGAAGTAAAAGGGGGCGCTGGAGGAGGAACCTTGCTCGAGTTCGCCCGGGGCAACGAATGGAATGCGTCCCTCCCAGGAATACATGCGCCTATGCAATTCTAAACGCTTCGCCTATCCCCGCCAGCTCGCCGCGCCAGTTTGGCTGCGCCTATTTAATGGTCGCCACCGGGTCTCCGCGCCACCGAGTCGGGGGTGTTGTTTCTGGCTTTTCTTCATCTGAGTGGCTGCCCGCGCGCTCGCTTCGCTTGCATTCTCTTCTCGCTGCCTAGTCGCGGCCCGGCCAGTGTTCGGGCGGATGCCGATTTGCTTCGCGAGCCCGCAGACCAAGAGAATGCTGCGCCAGCCCGTCCAGAAACTATGTCCAGGCGAGTTGAGGTGGCCAGGGAAGTGCGGCAGCAGCAAAGAGGGGGGCGACCGAACCGCGCAAAGAAGTGAGGAGGAGAGGGGGGGGGGGGGGATGGACGGGTGGATGAGGGAGTGGGAAGAAGGAGGATTAATCGGATGATGAGGAGGAGGCGAGGGGAGGAGGAGGGGAGGAGGAGGAGGAGGAGGAGGAGGAGGAGGAGGAGGAGGAGGGGGAGCGAAGGCGCGGGGGAGGAAGGAGGAACACGAGGGGGAGGAGGGCAAGCACAGGGCCAGAGGTCTCCTGGATGCCTCTCGGAGCCTCTCGGGGCATCTCTCGGGCGATTCTTGATGATGGTTTTTGGGGCGTCTTTGGGGTGGGTGGTGGTGGTGGGTGGGTGGGTGGGTGGGGGGGGGGTGGTTGTGGGGGGGGTGGGGTGTGTGTGGGGTGTGTGTGTGTGTGTGTGTGTGTGTGTGTGTGTGTGTGTGTGTGTGTGTGTGTGTGTGTGTGTGTGTGTGTGTGTGTGTGTGTGTGTGTGTGTGTTGTGTGTGGGGGGGGGGGGGCGCGGGCTTTTTTTTTTTTTTTTTTTGGGGGGGGGGGCGTGTGTTGGGTGGTGGTGGTGGTGGTGGTGTGTGTGTGTGTGTGTGTGTGTGTGTGTGTGGCGCGCGTGCGTGCGTGCGTTGCGTGCATGCGTGCGTGCGTGCGTGCGTGCGTGCGTGCGTGCGTGCGTGCGTGCGTGCGTGCGTGCGTGCGTGCGTGCGTGCGTGCGTGCGTGCGTGCGTGCGTGCGTGCGTGCGTGTGTGTGTGTGTGTGTGTGTGTGTGTGTTGTGTGTGTGTGTGTGTGTGTGGTGTGTGTGTGTGTGGTGTGTGTTGTGTGTGTGTGTGTGTGTGTGTGTGTGTGTGTGTGTGTGTGTGTGTGTGTGTGTGTGTGCAGGCGTGCGTGTGCGTGTGTGTGTGTGTGTGTGTGTGTGTGTGGGGGGCCCGGGGGCTCCTGGCCATCTTGGGGCCACCTTGGGGCCTCTCGGGGCCTCCAGGGCGCTTCTTGGGGCAGTCTGGGAGAAGATCGACCGAACAAGAGGGGGGGTCTTTCATTCGCGCCCCCCCTCCGTTACCCCCCCCCAACCAACGGCGAGCTTCAGAGCGAGAGGCCACAGCGGGGCCAGAACCTTAGTTGCACCAGTGATTTGGTCTTCCTCGCCGAGGCCATTTTGGGCGCTCCGGCGACTCGCGAGACCCCCACCCCCGTCCAGGTCCAGGGGGGGGGGGGGGGGGGGGGGGGGTAAATCCCTCCCCGAAGGGGGGGGGAGGGGTGGAAGTGGGCGCGCTTTCAACCGCCGACGCCCAGAGGGCTGGCGCGACTCTCTAAACGCGCTCTTGGAGTCATCTGAGTCAGTGCCCCCCCCCAAGAGGCCAGCATGCGACTGAGATCTTAGTAGAATCAATAAGTTGCCAATCTAGCCGAGGCCTCTTGGAGCATCTTGAGTGCCTCTGGGGGGTCTCTTGGGGCCTCTCGGGGGTCTCTTGGGAGCTTCTTGGGGGCGTCCTGGGGGCCTCTTGGGGGTTCCTGGCTACATCTTCGGGGCCCTCTCGGGGCGCCCTCGGGAGCTTCGGGGGCAATCTTTGGGCCATCTTGGGTGAGATCGACCGCGGGAGAGGGGGTGCTGATTAGCCCCCCCCCCGTTCCCCCATTTCGGGGGGCCAAAATGGGGCCGGCATTCTCGTGGGGCCAGCGATTTTGGCTTCCTCGCCGAGGACGTCGCGGGCGCTCCGACGACTCGCGAGGCCACCTGCCCAGGCCCAGGGGGGGGGGCCCCCCCCCCCCCCCCCCGAAGGGGAAATGGAGGGGATGGAAGAGGGAACGTTCTAAACCACCGACGCCCAGAGGGCTGGTGGCGTTTATAGTTTGGCCCTTGAACGATATTTCGGGCGGAAATCGGTGCAACTTGATCGGCTTTGCCGAGGCAAGAGAGAAGAGCCGCGGTCCCACGAGATCGATTAGGGCGCTTGCCCTTTTCATTGCGGTCGCCGAGAGATTAATCGATGAGGCGGTAGGCTGTTCTGAATCAGGAGCTATTCAGATTTCTAAGTTGGCGGAGGCCACAGATGCCGGCGTTTCTCTCGCGGCAAATGCCGGGTGCATGTGCTCTGGGGCGATGCCGCCGCGCTCGTGCGAGCAGAGATGAATCAACGCATTGAGCGCTACAGTGCAATGTGAGTTCGCATTCTGGGTGGCGCTAGCTTGTGTTGCAAGTCGCAACATCCAGCGGGCGATGCATATCGCTTCCTCGCTCGCTGCGAGACATGCAAAGTCGGAAAGGGAAGCCGAGGACAGGGCGCGTCGACTGCTGAAATGTTTGAGGATCATATGTTGAAGGCCGCCGAGCCTGCAGCGTCGTTCTTTTGGGCGGCGCAGCCGTGCAGGGGGCTGAATTTGCCCGGGCAGGCGGTTATGCGCAAGTGGATGCGACGCGCGACGAGGCGGCGCCATATTGGACTGGATGGTGCCCGACAAGCCCGGGCGCGCCGAAGTCAGCCCTCGGAGCCCCCCCGTTCGCCGAACCTTTCATCCCGAGCAGGTTTCCCCGGCCGTTTCAAACGGCGCGGAGGGCGGAGCACTGCGCTCGCTGCCGTCCAGAGAATGGTGCGAGTTTCTGGCGATGGGAAAAGGATGCGAGAATTATGTCCGAAGGAAAGATTGGCACTTCCTCCTCGAGCGCAGCGCCCCCGTCATTCCCGGCGCGCCCCCTGAGGGGCAAACTCTGTGGCGGCCCAGACAGAAGATCGGAATTTTTCAGCGCGTGCAAGAAGCAGTCGAACATATCGACGATTCGCCATTGTTTCAATCACCTGCCGGCATAGCCGGACAGGCGAGTGGAAGTGCCGCGGCTTCCCAGTTCGCTGTCAGCCCAGCCGAACAGGGGAAAGCTGAAGTGGAGGTCGCCCGTTCAGCTGCTGGCTCTGCCGGCGCAGCCGTGCGGGGGCCAGCTGGCGCCGCGATTGCTGCTGGTTCGGGCTCAGCTGTGAAAGCAGCAAAGAGTCGCGCGCGATCTGCCGAGCCCACCAGAATGCTGGCTGCAGAGACCCCGCCAGAGGCCTGCGAGCGGGACATCGGAGAAATTTCTTGAGCATGGTAAAGGAGGACCAGCCCCCGTGCCTGGAGAGGCAAAGGAGACCGAAACATATCCGCATGGGGAGATCAAGGTGTGCGTAGATGGCCGGAGAAACTTCCGAACCAACATGCGGCAACCTTGAAAAAGGGAGAACAGACAGCTATGTTCCTCAAGTGGGGGCGCGAAAGTTGATGGAGCGTGGGTGCAGCCCCAACAAGTTGTGGTCAGGGGGAGATTACAAGAATCTTTTGCAACGAATGAAGGGTCATGCCGATCCAATCGTGCAAGGG